TTTATACTTGAAATTTCGGACTTGAAACAATCTTGAATGAATTGAAGAATCTTGAAGGATGATATAGGGATTAATAAAATCTATCCTTGTTTTTCTTTGTCTGTCGACTTTTTAAATTATGGAATCTACTTTATTAAAGTTGCTTTAATAAAATTTTGTGTCCATTTTTTAGTGTCAGTAGAGCTGGTAGGATTATTTTTTGTGGTGGCGAACACATTTGAAAGAACACTTTTCTTGAACATTGAACCCGATAATTTCGATATTCATTTAAATAACTGGACCCATGTAGACATTTTGATTTTCTTTGATTTTCTTGCTAAATCAAATAATCAATGTTGTCTAACCCAAAACACATGTCTTCGTTGCTTTGAGCATAGTCTGTTGATTCTGATTGGAAAAAATCATCGTCATTTGATTTTGATTTCTTTGAAGAGGCCTCAGCCAACGAAGCATTTTTTTTCCAAAATAATTTGTAATTCTTCCGGAGTTTTGTACTGGTTGAAGTCTAGTTTTCTTTCTTTGATAGTTTTGGTACACCAATATTTCTTTATTCTTTTTTTTTTTAGTTAAATGAGGACGGTACCTCCGAGATTTTATTAGTATGTCCTCACTTGTGGCGGAAGAATACTGTAGTTACATGAGAATAAGGAGAGCGGTAAATGAGGAAGTACTACTTTCCTTACAATGAAAGTAAATGACGAAGAATAAAGTAGTAAACAAGGAAGTACTACTTCATTTACAATAAGAACTAATGTAAAAGAAAAGACAAAGAATAAGTATTGAAAGTTAAAATAAAATTCCAACTCTAATACTGGGCAATCCATGTCGTCAACTTGTACTAGTGCCCTAATATGTTGTGGTAGGTCAAGTGGTCCATATACCTAATATCGTTGATGTTCCCAACCCTCAGTAACTAGAGCATCTGCAACCTAGTTTCTTCTTTGTAAATGTGGATGACTATATCTCTATCGAAGGATATGATGTATGTGATACGTCTAAGTATACCCCGAATAACCCATGGTCCTCCTCCTCTAGTGATGCAGTGAATAGCCACTGTAGAATCTGACTCAACCCAAATCTCTGAATAACCCAGTCCTTGAGCAAGTAAAATCCCATCAAGAATAGCTCGGAACTCTGCCTCTAATATCATGCATGGTCCACCATTTAACTTTGAGCCTTCTGACCATTTTTTTGACGTTGAATTCAGAGCTTGCATTTTCAACAACTTGATAGTCCCAGTAGAAAATCCACGAGACTTTAAAGTTGTAAGCAAATTGAAATAAAAGATTTTCCACTGAAATAAAAGATAGCTCCAGTCTTCAAAAGACGATACCCTTTGAATTGAAATTTTTAAAAAATCAATATAATTTTTCTTTTGAGGATTTTGAGTATGAGTTATTATGGTTGATCAAGGTTTGATTAGGATAGTTTCATAATAAACTCTATTCTTTTTGATATTTTTCGGCATGAAATGGAAATGGGGAGGGAAAAATTTCTGAAGACATTCCTCAAGAGAAGAATATCTCTGGATCCAGGAGGTTTCCATTTCAAAAACAGAAAATTGAATAGGTTTAGTGCATTAATGAGATGTTGAGGGGTTGATATTTGATAATTTTTCAGATCCAATTTGAACAACTTTTTTATAATTTGAGGGTTTGTTTTCTTCAGAGATCTTTTTACTTGAAGTATTTGTATAAATGGATTTTTAAACAAGAGTAGTTTTTTGAGAATTTTGAACCATGAAAAGAATTTTGAATGTAATCTTCAATTGAAATAATATGAATTGAAGATTTTTTCTTATTCTTTGAACCATGAAAGAATTTTGAATGTAATCTTCAATTGAAAGAATAGAAATTGAAAACTTTTTCTTATTCTTCTTTGAAAAGAAGAATCCATAACTCAATTGTTTCACTCAATTTTATTTTGCAGAAACTCTCAAGTCGGGAAATCTGTAAGAAAGTTTGATTTACCTTGTTTATATAGAATTTTGAAATCAAAGCATGATAGGATGGCTTGCCATCTTGCGAAAATTTGTTTTCAAACAAGGTTTTTTTATGTCTTTTTATAAAACGTCATTTGATGCTTTGCAATCTATTTTTAAAATAAATTCTTTATTGATTAAATCATCTTGAAATTTTGAAATACATAAAACAATGGCTTTGACCTTGAGACTATCAATCATATTTTACCAGTAGTTACATCTTCGATCATGTATGACAACATTTTGGGAACATCTTTCAGATACCTATGAGTTCAGGAGATGGAGTTTGCAAAGGTTCCAGAGATTGAGGTATCTAGGCAGTATGTTCGTTGTAGACACATTCGTATTATCATTCTTCTACTAGTATTTTGGTTTCTATGGACTGAGAGAAATGATGCGAAGCATAGAATGATCTACGTGGTAGCCAGACATATCATATAGATGGTCAATCCCATGATCTCTTTTCTTCAAATGGGAGGACGGTTTTGAGTTGTACATTGGCAGGGGATCTAATACTTGCACCCATCTTTGGAATTTCTTTGATTCACTCCTCCCGATCTTTTCATGTTCTAGTTTGGTGTTGCACTCCATTTGTTGGATTTGTCAAGATCAATACTGACGAATGTATCAAAGGGGTATTGCGATTGGGAGAAGTATCATCAGAGATCACTCAGGATATTGTATCAGGGCTTTTTCAGCTTCGTATGGACTGTGCATGATATTAGAGGTAGAGCTCATGGTTATTCTTGATGGGATTCTACTAGTTAGAGGACGCAGTCTTTCAGACAATTGGATTGAGTCAGATTCTATAGTGGCTATTCACTGCATCACTAGAGGAGAAGGACCATGGGCTATTTAGGCATACTCAAACAGATCATAGACATCGTATCATTCGATAGAGACACAATTTCTCACATCTAGAGAGAAGGAAATCAGGTTGCAGATGCTCTCGTTGCAAAGGGTTGGGATCATCGGCGTATATATATATATGGAGCAACGAATCTACCACAACATATTAGGGCACTTAAATAGATTGATAGACATGGACTGCCCAACATTAGAGTATGATTTTTCATTTTTTGTTCTTACTTTTTTCTTTACTTGCATTAGTTCTTATTGTAAAGGAAGTAATGATTCATTTTTTACAGCTTTACATTTGTCACTTATCATTTATTTTCTTTGTAGGGGAAGTAGTACTTCCTCATTTACTATTTTCATTATTTTCTCATGTAATCACGGTATTCCTTCGCCACAAGTAAGGACATATTTATAAAATCTCTAAGATATCACCCTCCTCTAAAAAAAAAAAATACGAATGCTTGTTTGACAAATAACAACTTTCTTACTAGAGACTGCTAAACCATTATTCTTAATAGTATGAATGAATGTATTGATATGCTTGAAATGTTGTTCTATACTTTCTGAAAATATTAGAACATCATCAATGTAAACAATTATAAAATTTTGAAAAGAATTAAAAATATCATACATAATTTTTTGAAATTCTAAAATGGCATTTTTTTAGACCAAACGGCATAACATTACATTCGTATTGTCCAAAAGAAACATTGAATACACTTTTAAACCTATCTTCTTCTTCAATTTGAATATGCTAAAATCACGACTTCATATCAAATTTTGAGAAGATGTCAGCTTTGAATAACATGTTTAACAAGTCTTTCTTTTAAGGCAACGGATATCTTATCCATTGAATAGCCTTATTCAAAGGTTTGTAATTAACAAATAGCCTTATCCATTGAATAGCCTTATCATGAAGCTCCTCTTTCAATTTCACTGGAGTTATTGACGTAAAAAGCTGAGCAGCTACAAAGAGATTTACTGGGCCGAATCAATTTCTTTTCCAGTAAATCTTGAATTTCCTTAATATAATGATCAAGTAATTCTTTGTTCATTTGAATAGGACATGATTTTATTGGAATGTTGTATTCATGAAAATCGCAATTGCAGGGAAGAGAAACATATTTCTTTCTATCCCAAAAAACATTTGGCATAGTAGAGCATTTTTCTTCTTTAATTTTCTTTTGAAGTAAAGAAATCTAGACAATGATTGAAGGATTTTTTAATTGTTCTTCAATTCTTTGAAACATAATCTCTTCTTTAAGAAATTGAATATTTTTTTCTTTTGAAATTAATATTATTAATTCATTTTGAAATCGATGCTTCTTTTAAAGAATTCCCATCTTTATAAGATGGAGGATTTGTAAATTCAAAAAATATTTCTTGTCCCAAAATATTAGTAATAAGACATTTTGAACTGGCTTGAAAATGTTAAATTTGAACAATGAAAGGAGTGCCAAGAATAACTTCTCGGTCTAGATCTTTGGCTAAGTAAAACATATTTTTGAAATAAATATTTGAATTATGAACATGAGTTTTTGAAAGTTTATACCGAATATTGAGTTTTTTACCACTAGCACAATATGACGCTAAGTAGTCTTTTCAAAATATTTGTTAGTGATTAATCCAATCCTAATGCAATTTTGATCAACTCGAGGACCAATTAAGACTATAGTATGAAGCTTGAATTCTTTGTTGACTACAATAGTCATATTGCAGTACCATTTTTGAAGTTGAATTCGATTAATAACATTAATCTTTTCTTCTTCAATTTGAGGATTTTAATGAAATTGAATAGTGTCTTCTTCTACAAATCATGCAAAGGATTGTTTTCTTGCTCTGGACTCTTAGGAGCTATTCTCTTTGTATTTCAATTTTGTATTTTGAGTTTTGAATTCATTTTGAGATATGTGTTTTGAGTGTCCATTTTGAGATTGTTGAAAATATGTTCTTTTTGGCATTTTGATTTTTTTTTTTTCAAAAATCAAAAATTGGAAAACCCATTTTCTTTCAAAAATAAAAAAAATTTGGCATAATTTGATTTTCTATTAGAATTTAATAGTATTTGGTTCAGTCGAAGAAATGATTTCTCCCATCAAGTTGATTCTGTAATCAATAGTTTCTACATATTGTAATCTGATCCAATTTCAATTCCAACAAAATGGTATTCAAAATTTACATCCAATTACTTCTCCAATTAGTTCTCACCACCCTCCAATCCCACTCCGCCACTTCACGCATCTCTATCCTCCAATCCAACTACCACAATCTCCGTCTCTCCTTCTCCGTCATTGACTTCGGCGCCATCGGAAGTGGCAACTACTATGACACCATCCCTATCCAATCTGCAATCGATGCATGTGCCTCTTCCTCCGCCCTCCATGGCTCTCACTGCCTTGTCACCTTCCCACCTGGTAAATACTTAACTGCAACACTGTACTTGAAATCCAGGGTCTTTTTGATTATCCAAAAAAAGGCCACCATATTGGGCGGCCGTAGATTGGAAGACTACCCTGAAAAATAAGAAAAGTGGTACGTGGTGGTAGTGGAGCATGCGGTGGACGTCGGGATAACTGGTGACGGGGATATTAATGGGCAAGGGTGAAATTTTTGGAGAGATTTGATGAAAGGAAGAATGTGATGGTGAGTTGGAATAAGACTGGTGTGTGTTTGGGGTAATGTTGCAAGCATTGGTGGTGGTGGTTTGAGGTGATGTTGTGGCGGCGACGGCGGCGGCAGCGGCGGTGGTTTTTGCGGTGGTGTGGTATGGTATAGGCGTCGATGTGGTATAGGCGGCATTGGTGGTGGTTGGGGGTGACGTTAAACTGAAAACATCCAAAATGCGTTTTGCAAATTTTGGCTTGATTATAACTAAAAACACCCAAAACGATAAATTTGTTGTTTTGGATTTTCCTTGTAAATTTTTATCTTATTTTCAAAAATGCGTTTTCAAAAATAGGAAAGAGAACGCGTTTTCACTGTTTTGGAAAATCGAAAATAGAAAACGACTTGAAAACGGTAAAGAAAACAGGCCCTTAGTCTTTAAGGAAACAAGTTCCATTTTGACATCTTTCATTTGCTTTTCTAACGAAACAACCTGAGATTTCATCTCATTGACTTATTTTTCTAATTCAAAACATGAAGATTTTGAATAAAAGGATCTTGAAGAACTTTCTTCTTTGAATCGGTTTAATATATTATTCACATTAAACGGAGCAACAGAAGTTTTTGAAGGCAAAAGTGCAGAGAACTTACTCTTTAATTGAGGACTTTCTATTTTCTCAATTATTTCTTGAATAAGTTCTTCTTCTTTAGCAAGAACCTTTATAGTTTTACAACCACAAATTGTTTTTTCTTAACTTGAATTTGAATACGAATTTGAACAACATCAGAATCTTCTTGATATTGATAGACCATTTCTAGTTAAGAATCAGAATAATCTTCTTCTGAGCTATAATTAAGTAGATTGAAAAGCTCAAGCTTAACTTCTTCGTCAATTTGAAGATTGTTAATACTTCTCTTCATAGGACATTTATTTGATTAATGACTGGGTTGATTGCATTTCCAGCAAGTAATATTAGATGGTTTTGAAAATCTTTTCTTTAAAAACTTTCTTTTTGAACTTCTCTAAACGTAATTTTGAAAAGTATTTTTCTTTTGAAGAAGATCTTTTTCTTTTTAGATTTTGAAGATGGAGGAATGATCTTTTCAAATCCATATTGTTCACAAAAAGATCCTAACTCTTTCTGTTTGTCAGATCTTTATGCCTTTAGTTTGGCTTTGAGTTGAAGATCATTGGATAATGCCAATCCTTCCTTATTGACGAAATTAATAATTTCACCATAAGTAAGTGCAGCATAATGGATTGAATCATTATATTTGAGTTTAATTGAATTTCTGACTCTTTTAGCAAAGAGTTTTGGAAGTCCAGAAATAAATCTTTCTTTCCAAAAAGATTGATTGCAATCATCTCTAATCATTACTCTGGTAAGAAACATATCCTTATTCTAGCAAAAATCATGAATTTTAGGACAACTTAAGTTTAATAAAACCACATATGACCTTTCTTGAAGGACAGTAGGAGTACCAATGACGTGCTTTAATATTGAATATATTAAAGTATTGAAACTATCATTTTGATGTAATTAATTGGTAGTGTTATGAATTTTTGACCTATCTTCATAATAGAGGTAGTTATTCTACCAAAATTTAATTTTTCCGTTAAATCCAGTAATTAAATTTATATAGGCGGTTGAAGGAGGAACATCACAAATGAGATATGCATTATAACATACAACCATGTTTTCAATAGTTCCCTTTTCGTCATATAACATATCACGATAAGAGGGACGATTGTAATAGGTTGGAAGCTTTGAATGTTGTCCTCTCAATTTATTGATTTGAAGAGGTTCATCTTCAATAAATTGAGATTCAAGGTTTCAAAATTATCAATAGTATTGATATTTTTGGAGTTTCCTAATTTTGAAATTTGATTTACAAGTTCCTGTAAAATACCTGATTCAGATGAAAGAGCATCTTTCTTTAAATTTGGAGTCATTTTTGAGTCAGTTGAAAATAAGGTTAGAATCAATAGGCTTCTTCCCTTCCCTTTTGGATGAGGATGCATCAGACTCAGAATTATTCTCAATTCTAGATAATTGAGAACAAACTGATCAAAGAACAATATTTGTATAATTGTTCTGAGAGATAACTGTAGGATTAGAATCTTCCATCCTTACAATTAAATCAGGTAACTTCTTGAGAGGCGATGCAATAATTTCAGTGCTTCCATAGGAAAAAACAATTTCTTGCATTTAAGGATGGCTAGATTGAAGAGTTTGACCAGGTGAAGTTTTCCATGTTTTCCTATTAACATAAGTGTTCTGAATGGATTTTTGTTTGGAAATTCTTTTTACCAAAAACTTTGAAATATGACCATTTATATAATCATAAAATTCTTCCCACAACGATTCTAGTTCTTCTTTTGAAAACATCCTTTTGAGAGTATGTCTGAATTTTTTTGCCACAGGAGTCTGATCAGATTTGAATTCATGTCTTCTATCCATATTAGAACAAATGACATTACCTTGCTAATTAAACTTCTCAGATGGAAGCATATCTGATAGGGTTAGAGAATCAAGTTGTTATGATTCTTCATCTTTATCAGAATATGGATTTTTTGGATTGAAATTTACCCCTTTGGGTTTATTAGAAGAGGTAGAAGATCTAACAGATTGAAAATGATTATTCTCAGATCTAGAAGAATAAGACCTATGAAGAGTATTAGATGAAGAGTGTTTATCAAAAATAACTTTAATATGCTCATCAGGGAATGAGATACTTTGATTAGGAATTTTTCTAGTAGGAGTAGGGACTAGATTTTGAGCATTTTCTAAATCCCATTCAAGTCCTCAGGATTGAAGATTACAAGGTATTCTCTTAAGAATCATGATATTCGAATGAAAAGGATTGACTCCTACCAAAAGACTTTTATCTTTAGGAGAAGATCTAAGAGCACAAATATTGACTTGTGTGTTCATAAGCTTATAATGTAAGGAAAAATATAGGAGAATCAAAGTAAATAATCAAACCGAAGACCCGTGATTACACGGTTTCCTTAAATCAAATTCGCCGCCTCACCGGAGTGCACGAGGTTTTGATTAGTGTTCGATTCTCAGGATACAATCGATCATCGGTTCCTACTGCACTACGTTAACCGCCTACGAATTACCTGTGACTTCTTCTATCTCTCAAAAATTTCAGCAAAGGAATAACATGAATGAAAACACAAGTTGCTGGAAATGGATGAGGTAACGGGATTTCTTTTTCTCCTGTTGTGTTTACTGGTTATTTTTATGTTCTTCCAACAGTGAGCTCCTCTATTTATACATATAGATGAGGAGGGTGGTTATTAATACAATTGAAGACTGATTTACATAAATTCCTGAAACTGAAGATGTAATGGCACCGAAATTGAAGACGAAGGGAAACTGAAGGCTACTAATTTTCTAAAGAAAAACTGAAGGCTGCTGATTTTCTGAAAAAATCAACTGATTTTCATTCAATTTCCAACAGTCCCCCACATGAATGAAAATATGGAAAACCAGAGAAAGATAGAGTATAGCGAATCAATCCTGCATAGGATAGGTAGCATTTAGTTTTGAACCTTCCCTTGTGAAAATCTATCGAGTATTACTAGCAAACCAGTGGATCTGATGCCTTGAACTAATTCGCCATTTGTGTAAACCAAGACAATAGACCTCACACAGGACCATTCTAGACACAGCGTAGATCTCAATCTTGTGTTCGTTTATGATTACACGGTTTCCTTAAATCGAATTCGCCGCCTCACCGAAGTGCACGAGGTTTTGATCGGTGTTCGATTCTCAGGATACAATCGATCGTCGGTTCCTACTACACTACGTTAACTGCCTACGAACTAGCTGTGACTTCTTTTATCTCTCAAAAATGTCAACAAAGGAATAACATGAATGAAAACACAAGCTGCTAGAAATGGATAAGGTAACGGGATTTCTTTTTCTCTTGTTGTGTTTGCTGGTTTTTTTTTATGTTCTTCCAACAGTGAGCTCCTCTATTTATACACATAGATGAGGAGGGTGGTTATTAATACAATTGAAGACTAATTTACATAAATTCCTGAAACTGAAGATGTAATGGCACCGAAATTGAAGACGAAGGGAAACTGAAGGCTGCTGATTTTCTGAAGAAAAACTGAAGGCTGCTGATTTTCTGAAGAAATAAACTGATTTTCTTTCAATTTCCAACAGGTCCCTACATGAATGAAAATATGGAAAACCAGAGAAAGATAGAGTATAGCGAATCAATCCTGCATAGGATAGGTAGCATTTAGCTTTGAACCTTCCAATTTGAAACCTATCGGGAATTACTAGCAAACCAGAGGATCTGATGCCTTGAACGGTTACGCTATTTGTGAAAACCAAGACAAT